AAAAAAATCTTTGCCTATATCTCTAGCTAGAGAGCTGAAACAGGGGCCTTCATTTGACAGAAAACATCTCTAATGAGATGACCATCCATCTAGTTTGACTGGGTCTGCTGGGGTTAGCCCCAAAGTCCTATGTTCTAGAAAACACTGACACCCAGGCAAATCAGCACAGGGGTCACCTTCACTCTGTGGAACTGTAAGACATTCCCTTCCCCCCAAAACAATTGCTGCTTCCAGAGGGACCCACAGTAAATAGTTCCAGGACCTAAAATTTAGCAGAAATTATACTTGAATTTGAGGTAGTCTAAGAAAGTACTAATCCAGTTTTAGTGGTTTCCAGAAATGATAATGATAGAATAGCTATACATACACACACACACACACACACACACACACACACACACACACACACACACACATATATAATGTATGAGTGTTTTGTCTGCATGTATGTCAGTGTACCTGGGCATGCAATGCCTATGGAGGTCCAAAGAGGGTGCCATATCTCCTGAAACTGGAGTTACAGACAGTTGTGAACTGCCGTGTGGGTGCTGGGAACCAAACCTGGTCCTCTATAAGAACAGACAGTGCTCTTAACCATTGAACTAACTCTCCAGCCCCAGAATAACCATATTAAAATGTTAAATTATTTGAGAAAACCAGATAAAATACTTTAATAATCCATGATGGCCAATTATTACTTACTTCATTGGAAAATGCTATGATGTAGATTTGAGAAAAACAGGATTGCCAGGGTCAGACAGTCAGAGTCACAGTTACCCCTGCCCTGGGCCTGGTCTCCTTCCCCTCGTTGCATGTTCTCTTCCCCACCTTGGAACTCAACAGGTTAGCAAAGAGGGGACATTATCCCATATTCAGAGACCTAGAGCTTGGGAACTGGTGACCAGGAGACGCGGGCTCTAGTGTCACTTGAGTATCAAGTGGTACTTGATCTCAGACATACTCTACCTTTTAGATCTCTGGTTCATTTAAGATGACGATGATGATCAAATGTCCATCTTCTTTTAGTCACAGCATTTCTCTGCTATGTGGGATAAAAGCTCAAGGTTTTTATCTGTGTTCTTTGTTGAATTCCTAGAATTAGTGCAGCAGGCTTTTCCTACACTGAAGTGATCATGCATGGAGTTCTTGGGCAATTATTTGCAATGTATACAATGATGACACGTTTCTGCTTTTCAGGGGCTCACATACTGGACAAGAAAGTAGACACAACCCCATCCCACTAAAAATGAGCTGGATTGTGGAACACACACAACAGAAGTACAGTCCAAATACAGGGGAGGACAGTGTAAATGAAGGTTAATTCCAATAGGAGGGAGGTGTGGGACAGCTCTGGCAGCTTCTAATACATTAGATGGGATATTCATTTACATTTGTTCAACCCTCCTTCGATGTGTGTCTTCATGTAGCTGGCCAGCTGAGTCAACATCAATTGGAATTGGAGTTGAGTGTGTGAGAGAGTGGTTCAGGATTCATAACCTGTTTTCTAAGCCTGGACTAGAGACTAACATTTAACACATTTCTCCTGTTCCTTGGGACCTTGTGACATAGCACAGAATGAAAATATGCATGCTCTTTCATGTACACACACACACACACACACACACACGCACGTAGGCAGCACACATGCAGTACTTTCCACAAGGTAAAACTTTGTAAATGGTGCAATATTTTTGGAGAATAAAGGAGGATGAAGGGACTTCCACTTTGGTAGAGGAGGTGACACTTTCATCTGGGCCCTGAAGGAGGCAATTTGAGTTAGGGAGGTGAGGGGTGGAAGGTAAAAAGACAAGAGGCGGGGCAGGTAATTTTAGGACGGCAAGAGGCCTACAGGCCATTTCAGATGAGGCAGCAAATTCCATGCGTTCAAAGTCATTCTAAATGGATGACTTTGAACTATGAGTATGTAAATAAGGCCACAATCTATGGTGACAAAGAATCTTGAGCACAGAAAGGCCATCCAGTTGGGCTATGGCTGTCCTAGCTTTAGTCTCCAGTGTCTTGCATTATTAATCTGGGTAAGTCAGATTAGTTGGTCACCTAACCTCTGGGGGAATGACTTAAATGCTATCTTTTTAAGACAGCTGTTTTCAATGAGGTCTGTGCCCTTCATATGCTTGGGAAAGACTCTATTGCCTCCTGAAAACTTCAGATGGCTACAGAGGCAAGTGCCTGGAACCTTAGTAGCTATAGCACCATGTCCCTGCCTCACTGACTATTTCACAGCAGGACCAACCTAGGACTAGCCCACCTAGTTCACAAGGTACATGAGATGCACCTCTTGAGATTTTCCCGGCTTAACACTGAAGGCAGTAAGGGTCCAGCTTGCAGGAATGGATGAAGAGGCCCAAAGGCTTTTTAAAGTTTTTAATTTTATGATTTTTTTTTTTTTAGTTTTTAAGTTAGAATACAAAGTAATAGATTTCTTATGGCATTTTCATACATAGTTTGTTTTTATTATCCCATTCTCCCATTCCCCTCCCTCTCTCACCCCTCAACCCCCCTGTTGCTGGTCCTCTTCCTCCCCCCAGAAGCCTCCCTTCCATCCTCACGTCACATGTATTTCATTACCCTTTCTCCTCCCACCATCTCCCTACTCAAGATCGCTTCTTTGTCTCTCATTCTAGTTTTATGACCCACAAAAGAAAATATGCAGTATTTGCCGTTGTGAGTCTGGTTTATTTTGCTTAACAGAATGATTTCCTTTTCTAGCCATTTCCCTGCAGATATCATGATTCCATTTTCTTTATGGTTGAATAAAATTCCATTGTGTATATGTGCCACATTTTTAATCTGTTCATCTATTGATGAACATCTAGACTGGTTCCCATTCCTTTCTATTGTGAATAGTACAGCAGTGAATGTGGATGTGCAGGTATCTCTGTGGTAATGTTGACTTAGGAAACTCCAGGTATATGCCCAGGAGTGGTATAGTTGGATCATACGATGGTTCTGTTTTTCTTTTTATTAAGAAACCGCCACACTGATTTCCATAGTGGCTACATCATTTTACATGCTCACCAGGAGTGAATAAGGACTCTTTCCCTACATCCTTGCCAGCGCCAGCATTTGCCATCATTTGTTTTCTTGATAATCGCTATTTTGATGAAATGGGAAGATGACTCTCAAAGCTGTTTTAATTTGCAGTTCCCTGATGGCTAAGGATGTTGAAAACTTTTTCAAGTATTTATTGGCCATCTGTGTTTCTTATTTTGAGAAATGTATTTAGTTCATTAGCTTATTTATTAATTTGAAGATTTGTTTTTTGGGGTGCTTATTTTTTGCAGTTCTTTATATACTGCGACATATAAACATATACTGTTATGTATGTCTGATGTACTGTTAGCAATGACTTTGACTTTCTTCTATTCTCCAGTCAGCCTATAAGATTTTAATAGAGGCTCTGGTAGGCCCTCTGCCTACCAGAGTGAGTAATGTAGTTCCAAAGGACGAAGGGACAGCCCCTGCCTCCTATTGCCCCCACCTGGCTAATGTGACATTCCTTTACCATTCATCCTCACTCTCCCTTGTGAGTGAGGAGAAGGCTGGGATAGACAGCTCAGCTCCTCAGTGTTGGCGGTTCATTCTCAGATTGAAAGAGACTATTTAACATGTAGGTGTCCGCATTTACATTGTATGCAAATTCAGGATTTGCTATGGCGTTTTTAGGACCTATGCAAAAGCCTACATGTTCATCTCGTGGCGATTTTTAAATATTAGCTTTATTATAATTTCAAACTACTGCTGTTTCTTATTTTTACGGAGAACAGAAACGATGTAAGTAGTATTTTCATAAACACAACAGTGCTTTGGGGGAATGCAACCATTTGCTGTAGGTTGTTTTCCTGAGTTGAAATGGATGTGTGGAATCAGTCATGCTCTGGGCCTTATGTTCCTGGAGAACAGTGGGACATGCTTGTCATACGGAGCGAGAGTTGTGATGGGAGGTAGATGGCAGCAGAGCCACACAGAGAGGCAGAGCTTGTGACAACTACTCCATATTCCCATTTATTTATCCAATGACGGACAGTTCCCTGCCTGTTCTAGATGGTCATCCTTGTTAACATCCGAAATGCTTATGCCATTCTAGTGTTTATCACACATTAGCAGAGAGATGATTGTACTTGAATTGCTAAGATTCCTTGGACATCGTTAGGACACAGTATCTGTACTTTTCATTATCAAATCTTTTTGTATGCTTTTAGCTTAGTTGTACCTCAGAATTTAGGATTTGGTACCCACCCCAATATGGAAGGAAGGGAAGGAGGGAGGGAGGGAGGGAGGGAGGGAGGAAGGAAGGAAGGAAGGAAGGAAGGAAGGAAGGAAGGAAGGGGAAGGAAGGAAGGAATTCACTACTCAAACAATACTTTTAAAATCCTCATGTTGTGATCAGTATATACTGTGCCCTGAGATGAGATTTTGTTTCTGTGTTTTGAGACAGGGTCCTTCTGTGTAGCCCAGGCTAGACTCAAACTCATAATCCTCTCACCCCAGTCTCCTGAGGGCTAGGATTAAGGTATGTGCCACCACGATCAACTCTGGGATGAACTATTAACCAGTGTCTAAGTCCCAGTTTCAGTCTAAGAGTAGAGACATACTGACCAGAGAGGGACCATATCCACTGACAGAAGTGCTGTGAAATGAACTGTATGTTCGTAGTAGGTCAGCTGACCTATGGAGGACTTTCTGAGAAGTTAAAAATGGAACTTGTCCTGGAAGGGTGGTTGGGTGTTAGTAAAAGCAGGGACATGGGAAGGTGACAGAGGGAGCAGAAGGGAGAAAATGTAAAATGAAGTCTTTGTGATAGAGAGTAATTGAGGTTAGACTTATAAATAAAATTTGAAAATGAACATTTTAAATGTAAAAGCAAGATTTGTTCATTAGAGAAATCTATGAAAAACAGTAAAGTCTAAAAAACTGCTCATAGGCACACACCAAAATACAACTCATTTTTGGCATCTTGATTATTTGTGTTATTTCCAGCACTTTCCTTGTGTGTAGTTTGGTGATGGCATTGAAATCATAGGTATGCCATTTTCATATTTACATTTTGGTTTATGAGTAATTTTAAGTATCAGCCCATATTGTTATGCACTCTAAGTCAGCATCCCTTTTTAACAGCTCCATAATGCTCCTCTCCATTTCCTCTGTTGGGCAGGTTCCATCCTCGTTCTCAATCCACATGGAAGAAGATCCATGAAAGGGTATGCAGCCTTCTGACATCCCACAGAGCTCACCCAAAGGTTAGGGTTTGGGGTGAAACTAGATCCTGCTGACAAATATGGGAACTTGAATTTGAAGTCCAGTGAGGGAAGCAAACATTAATGAAGAAATCATAGAAATAGTATAAAATTTTGACACTTATCGGGAGAGAACTTAGTGTCCTGAGCCTGACTGGGAGGGTATCTGAGTGGTTGGGAATCAAGGCAGGCTCCCTGTGTGGGAGACAGGGTCTTAACGTGAATAGTTCATTTGGCACAGCATTCATCAGGTGAAAGTCCTGGGTAGGATCTTTTCCAAGACTGACCACGGCATTCCTTCCTATGTGAACAGAAATCCCAACACAGAAAAATGCATTTGTTTGTGGGTCTATGTAAGCCTACAATCTGGAGGAAAAGATTTCTGCAGTTTAATAAAGGGTTTTTGACTGATGTTTTTCTATGTGCCTAACTGGGGCGGTGGCGGTGGGGGGGTTCTGATCTATGGTAGAAGTGCTCAGTACTTTGTGTCTATTACAGATATACAGCTTAATGGAGCTAACTGTGCCATGTAATCTAGCCTATGCTAGACTGGTAGGATGACAGTTTATAAGTGGAAATTGGTCACTGTACCCATGGGAGTAAAGAATTACTTTACTTCCTCTTTGCAAAGCATTGGATTAACCTTATTTCCCAACCTAAAGTAAAGGAATCTCCTTAAAATGAAGAGAGGGAAGGGATTATACACATAACACACACACACACACACACACACACACACACACGCACAGTGAACCCCATTTCTGTGGCACATAGGGGATGCACAGACCTCTTAATGCCAAAAGCTATGTGTCTAGGCATTATTGGGTTTCTCTTACATCCTGGTTAATGCAATTTCTGGATGTTTTTTGTTACAGGATGATTTTATCTCTGAAGCAAATTATATCTGTAAAAGACCAAGCTATCCTCTGAAGAAACACCCACTGCATGAGCAGAGATATTTTTAACTGATATCTCATGTAAGCAAGCAATTTATTGTGTTATCGTGATTTGCTAAAACGGTTTCCATCTTCTGCTGTCACTAGAGTAGCTAGGAAATGTGGAGGGGCATGGAGGAGCCCTAAGAACGGTGCTCCCTCCACTCAGTGGAACATAGTAGTTCATAGGTCTGCCAGCTCTCACCCCCTCTTATCCACTCCTCCCTCCCTCTTTAGCTGGGGACCCTTGGGCCTCTTTTAGCTCCTTGACCAGATTCTCTCCTGCCTTGGGGCCTATGCATGTGTTGCTTTCTCTGGCGTACTTCATCCTGACTCACCTAAGTAACTTCCAGTTGTCCTTCACATCCATGAGTCTCCATGACACTCTCTCCTCTTCCAATATATACCCTTTAGCAGCCCATACTTTTCTTTATAAAGCATAACACAATTTTCTATTATTTAAAAATCAGTCTCTTCTACAAGAAGGAAACTCAGCATTTAGCTCGATACAAGGAAACCCATTAACTTTCTAATGACACACACAGGATCCCGAGCAAAGCCCTGCCTTCCCACCTTCACCTTGCTGTTGTCCTCACATCCCTTGACCCTCCAGAGGGGTTGCTCCTTAGCAGGTGTTTCACTCCATGAACACTGAAGGAGGTGATGAGGCAGGTCTAGAATGCAAATATATGCCAAGTACTTGGCCACATGACAGGGGGTCATCATTTCTTAGGTAGTCTCTTATTTTCTCTTCCTAACCCATTCCCAGAATAATAGCATTTCTTTTAAAAGTGGCAAACTTGCCTGTGGACAGTTAGGAGTTGGATTTCTGTGAATGGGAGGGAGGCTTGGGAACTTCTGTGGTCATGCTAACAGCTCTCCACTTGTCCTTATGTACTTCCTAAGGACCAAGAGCTGGCCAAGTACTTCCCATGCACTAAATGAGGTAGTATTTAATTCTTAAAACAACCCTATGCGATGGCTGCTTATACTAAGTTTCATTTTGCAGATAGACTCAGGTACAGAGTCCAGGTACCTTGCTCAGGGTGACATGGCTAGTGAATGGCAGGGCTGAGACTATGAGCCTAGCTGGTGGGTTTCCGAGGTCACGTTCTGAATTGTCCTATTCTGTTGCCTTTCCAATGCTAGAGTGTGACAGCTAACTCTGAGCAGAAAGAGCCTTCTGCAAACGAGAGCCCTGTGTGGCTCAGGCAGAGTCAATGGACACTGCCTTTGAATGTTTTCCACTAGGTTCCAATAGTGTTAGAGTGTATGCTCATCAAAAGTGATTGAGTCTCTTTAAAAAACCAAAGAGTATGAGATGACCTGCCAGCTCTCCCCACAGTCAGGCTCCTGGAAGTCTGTCTTGAGGGCCAGTCATGCTTTAGGAAACAAACCACCATGCCCCAGGGCTGGCAGGGCATCCTGCCTCCAGTGCAGAGGAGGAGGACAGCTTGATAATTGCCCATCCTGTAGCCTTTTACTTTAGAACGTTCTGCTTGGTAGATTAAAGGGTGAATCCTAGGCCACTTAATCTCTGGTTACAAAAACAGTCACTTAGGCTTTTATTAGGCTGTTAAACAAAACCTTGCCCACGTAATTACCAAATGCTAAATTACATTGAGTTTCCTTCTGGATAAATCAAGTCACATAAAGCTGATACCCAGACTGATAGGAAGAAGTAGAAAAACACTTCCCACAAATTCTGTCTCAGAAAATGGATTTCTTCCATAACAAGAGTCCCCACACAGGGTTTGGAGCAAGCTCTTAGGCCTTTCGCTAACACCCCATGACTGGTAATACTTTCTGAGTCATGGATTCCTAGTGGGGTAAGGATCCTGAGGGCCGTGCTAGGGAAGGTTCTCCTGGTAGAAAAATAAAAAGACAGAGTGCCAGCTGACTCTGAAGCAAACTAGACATTTATTATGAGTAACCCAGTGAACCTGGGGAAAACCCTAATATGTAAGGTCAAGGCTATGCAAGAGGAGAGCTATGGCGACCCCTGAGGTTAGAGGGACTTCACACACAGCAGGGCATCCCCACTACATGTCCCTGCTCTACTCTCCTGAGGACTCTGATGGCAGCATAGTCCTGTTCCACTCTCCTGAGGACTCTGGTGCAGTCCCAGCCTTTGCCCTGCTCTCTGGGGGACTCTGGTGGCAACCCCAGTCCTTGCCCCCTCCTCTGCTCTACATCAGCTCCTTCACTGTGATCTGCTTTCCCTCTCTGGATTCCTGGTAGTCTCAGTTTCCCAGAAAAATGAAAACAAAACAAAAAAACCTAGATTCTTAGTTACAAAAATGCCAGGAATCCAAAACAGCAAGTCCCTTTGTCTGACCAGGGACAGATGGAATGGGGAGGCGGTGGAAGACATTATTTCTCCTTATTTGGGATAGTTCAGGACACGGGACTTGGGGTATAAAGCTACTTATTTCTGGTTATACTTTAGAATGAGAAATTTTCCTACCAACGAAACAAATCCCTCCTGTAGGAGGAAGTGTGTGATAGCCTGACTGCACATGTGCCGTAGCCCACTTCCCCTTTTGCCAACCTGTATTCTGCCTTGGAGCCTGGAGACGGATGACACTGCAACACCAGACACTGCGGGCCAATGAGGAGAAGACACAGTACCAGAAGAAACCATCGGGGACCAATGGGACACAGGGAGGGGGCATATAGGCACACCCTGTTTCTGCAATAAACGAGTCTGCAGCTGCTCACACTGCCTGCTTCTCACCTGACTCCCGGTGTCTGTGTTGTGACTCTGCACCAACTCTCCCCAACCCAAGGGGTGCTCAAGGGTCCCCGTAACATCTGGCACCCAATGTGGGGCTCGAGGAATCCGTGCTGGCATGGTCCTTGAGTTCCCGTGGGTCCTAGCTTATTGGGTGATAGTCGCCTTTCTTTTTTGGATTGCGGTTTTTGCTCCTTCTTGCCATTGTTGCATTAACTGTTACTGATTTCGGCATGCTTTTGCTTTCTCCATAGGCAGTCCCTGGTCTTCCCCTTCCCTCCGGCATGGCAAGGCACCCCCCCCCCGTTGTGTTTTTCGTGAATTGGCCCCTTTCCATGTTCAGTGTGCCTTTGGTCCTCATGAGGGTGAGTGTGGAGACCCCCCTCCTCTTCCCCTTCTTCCTTGGTGTCGTTTGCATTCCTTGATGGTTAGGGAGGAACATTTACTTGTTTTCGGTTCACCCAGTGCCTCCACATAAAGGCTGACCTCCTGGGAGGTAGAACCCAAGAGTGGCTCCCAACCACCACTCCCCATCTGGAGATGCCATGTGGGCATACAGCTGTGACCTAATGAACCACGGAAGTCCCCCACTAAGCACAAGACACTTGGGTCCGATACACTCTCTCCTTCACCTTCTAATGTTTGCCTCCACCAGCGGCTCTTCTCCTGTGCTCTAGTGAGTCCTCTGTATCCTTGCCTTTCTCCTTACCCTTTCCCTCTTTTGTTTAGAATACTTCTGACCCTTTGTTAACACCACAGGGTCTCCCTAGTTCCCAGTCATGGGCAACCTGCCCCCCCACCACTGTAGGGAGCCTCAAATATGAGCCCTTAGGTCCCTTTTAGTTACACGTGGGCTTAAAATTAAATCCCATCAACTGGATGCATTTGGGAATGAGGCCACTATACTGGCACCTTGAGTCACTCCTGAGAACATGTGGGACCCAGAATCATGGATGTGCATCCTCTTCCTGGCCCAGAAGCGTGAGGTTGGCTCTGGGATTCTCCTGCCCACTTCCTTTGTCCCAATCCTACTAGCCATTATTGCTAACCTTAAATCCTCCTCTCCAGAGGAGGTGATCAAAGCCCACAACAAACACTTTCAGGAACAAGCCAATGTCAATTTTTCCATTGCCTCGCCTCCCCCAGCAGCGGAGGATACCTCTTCATCTTCCGAGGAGGAGGGGAAGGAACAGGACTGTCCCTCAGCTCCCGGCAAACCACCACATCCTAAACCTTCTGCCCCGGAGTCTCCAGAGCAGCCTGATCCCATCTCCACGCCTCCTCAGTACCTTTGGCGGGAGTTTTGCTCCACTTGGTGCTCAGCCCCTACCCCTCCGGAGCCCAGGAACCCTGTTCCCACTCCTGACCCGCCCATTCCCCAGACTCCTTTCCCATGGTCCCCCTCCCTTCCTGCTATGAGGCTTGTTCAGGGCCCAGCACCCCTCTGGGGTCATCCCCTGGCAGCCTTTCCGGTAAAGGTTGATCGTAATGCCGCCAGTCATCGGTCCTAATGCTGCCAATCAGCCTTGGATTCCCACCCCACTGGCAGACCTCTCCCTCATTTGCACGGCCGCCAGTGAGTCTGGACCTGACCCCCCCTATTTTGAGCAGGTCCTTCATCAATGGGCCATGCAACTCCAGACTCACTATGATTGGTACAATCTCCTTAAGGCTGTGCTGGATCCCTTTCTTTTTCTAAGTTGGTGTTCAGCTTATGATGACCAGGTGGAACTCCAAGCATGTCTCAATTTACAATATGGTCTTAACATCACCCTAGATATGCTTACAGGCTGCGGACACTACATAGATCCTGTGTCCCAATCCACCATTGGCCTGCATGCGTATTACCAGCAAGTCTCTGACCTTGCCTTTAAGGCTCTTAAGGCATGAACCCCTCGTGACCCGTCTGCTTACTTTTGCAATCTGGTCCAACAGTCCGGTGAGTCTTTCACTGACTTCCTTACTCAGGTCACAGACATGGTAGAACAGAGGGTCGAGTCTGGCCCTACCCGGGACCTGCTTGTCAAGCAACTGACTTGGGAAGGCCTTAATGCGTCCACCCATAAAGCCGTGGCTGTGGTCTGTGATGATGACATCCACAAATGGATTCTTGCCACTAAAAGATCTAGACCCTTGCGCTGGCCCTATTGAGGTATTGACTGCCTATCTAGACATGTTGCTGGCAGGCCGACAGCGGCTGTCGTCGCCTGCCTCCCCCTCCGATAAAACTTGCTGGGGCTGTGGCAAACCTGGCCACTTGTGCCAAGACTGTCCTGGGGTTTGTCCTAAGACCTGCTGTCCCAAATGCAAAAAAGGATTTCATTGGGCCAAAGACTGCCGCTCCCAGCTGCAGGGTGACTCTGCCCCCTTTAAACTCCTGGTAGGGTGCCCCTCAGCCCTGCCAGTAAGAGGAGATGCTACTAGTTCGCACGTGTTTTAGACCCTCCCTGTTTTTAATCACTCCCCAATGATGACCATCTAGCTTGACAGCTCGCCCGTTAAAGGCCTTGTAGATACTGGAGCAGATGTTACTATTGTTATAACGACTGAATCCCTCCACTTTCCCCATTGGAAATTCAGACCTGCCCCCCACCCGTTACTGGTGTGGGGGGCTGCCAGGAGACTAAGACAACTGTATGATCTGTCCATTGGAAGGACCTTGATGGACACCAGGGCTCATTCTCCTCCATAATAGCTGATGTGTCATGCACCTTGTGGGGGAGGGACATCTTGGAAGACATGGGGGTGGTCTTGACTACTGACAATCGTCCCTTTTACGATGATATCATTACCCATGACAAAATAGTCCTGTCAGGATGCCCTTCTCTGCATAGTCTGCACTCCCAATTCTAAAGGCCACTGCCCTCCCAGAGAGCCCACCTGATGGGCCCCCTGGTCCCATCTCATTAACTTGGCTCTCTGACAATGACATCTGGGTGGAGCAGTGGCCTATCATTGAACCTAAATTATCAGGAACAACTTGACCTCAGACATCTAGAACCCTCTACCAGTAGACATAATACTCCCATTTTTTGTGATAAAGAAAAAGTCGGGCCACTATAGACTCCTACAAGATTTACGGGCTGTTAATGACCAGATGGAAAAAATGGCTTGCCTCACCCCAGTGCCCTCCCACCCTCTCATAACATTATTATCATAGATATCAAGGACTGTTTTTTCCAAATTCCCTTGGCTCCTCAAGATAGTTGCTGTTTCACGTTCACAGTCTGGGAGCCCAACGTTCACAAGCCAGCCCAGAGATTCCACTGGAAAGTATTTTTCAAAGCATGAAAAATAGCCCAACTATCTGTCAGCTATATGTTGCTTGGGCCATGAGACATGAGATGACTTCCAACAGATATTCTCCTTGTTCATTACATGGACGATATTCTTATGACTCGTCCTGACCCTGCCTATCTGAGGAAGACTACCAAGTCTCTCCTCCACGATTTGGCTAAATTAAATCTGAGAATCACTACTGAAAAAATCCAATTTGCCTCTCCCTATGCATTCCTGGGCCACTCCATTGCCAAAACTATTCGTCCCTTGACCTTCCATATTAGGGTTCAACTAATGCATAAACTGGCTGAATTTCAACAGCTCTGCAGTACTGTTAATTGGCTTAAGCCTTTCCCTCCCTTCCTTCGGATGGCATGTGTGCTTTGTTCTCTCTCTAGAGGGCCCCAATAGTCCCTCTCATAGGGTCTCCCTGACACCTGAGGCCAGGGTACTCCTGGATAAAGTTAGTGACCTTCTTTCCTCTGCCTCTCTCAAGCAACATGACCTGGAGACTTCTTTGCTTGCCATAATTCTTTGGACAGCCACTGGATTTCTAGGAGTTCTCTGGCAAAAGGCCCCTGATGTGGGTCCATCAGGCCTTTTTGGATCTTCATAAGTTGACCTCCAAATTGAACAGACCTTTCGCCTAAGCTTAAAAGCTCGCACCCTGGCTTGCAGAACCTTTAATCAGGAACCCAATGTGCTTATACTCCCCTTCTCTTTATGGCACTCCCAAGTGCTCTGGGTGGACTCCATTAGCTTCCAAGATATGGTGACCAGGTTCCTAGGGCCTATTGATAATCATCCACCCCAAGACAAAAGGTTTGCTGCCCTTGCCTCTCTCCCTATTGAGGTCAAACCTTACTCCTTCCCCTCCTCAACCCCTATTCCGGGAGCAGCCATGGCCTTTTCAGACACCAATAAACACAGGTATGGTGTTCTGATTCAATGCTCCGGAAGTAATGATGTGACTCACATTATCCCAAATCCTGGCTCTGTGTGCAGTTGGGGGATCTGTTAGCTCTGCTTAAAGTTCTCACTGAATGTCAAAACGAACCTGTCAATATTTTCTCAGACAGCCTGTATGCTGTCCAGGCAGTCCGTGTCCTATCCTTCTCCTCCATAAAATGGACATCTGATCCCTTACATCTGACTATGCAGACACTACAAGGCTGTCTAGAACAGAGGTCTCACCCCTGGTGTATCTCTCACATACAATCTCATTCTAATCTCCCTGGGATTCTAACCAAAGGCAATGGAAAAATGGATGCCATGATTATGCTTATAAATACCAGTTTATTGGAACAGGTGCACGCTCTACACCAGCAGTTCCACTTAACCCCTCAAAGTATTCATAAATTACTCCCAGATTTGCCAATGTCCCAATCCAAACACTTAGCATGGACATGCTCCATGTGTGCTCCTTTGGCCCTTATAGGACTCCTGAATAGGGGCTAGGTTAATCCCCAAGGTCAATGCCATCTGGCAGATAGACGTCACCCATCATCCTCCCTTTGGCAATCTGCGGTATGTACATGTAATAATAGACACTTGCTCCTCTTTCACATACACTCTAGCCCTTACTAGAGAAAGGGCCTCCCATGTTATTAAAGCAATGAAGTCGGCCATGTTGGTCATGGGAGTGCCCCTGGGCAGTAAAAACAGACAATGGCCCAGCATACACATCTCCACACCTCAATGCTTTCATGGCCTCCTGG